ATATATATATATATATATATATATATATATAATATAATTTTCATGACTTGGCTATATGTTTATGATCCTGTGGAGGGCATGCTTAAGAATCTAGGGAAGAATATATAATTTTAATCTTATTCAATTTTTAAAAAGATATTATCTCCGTTTATTTTTAATGCTCATTTTAACTTATTTTGTATTCATCAATTAGATCTTAGATCATGGAAATAGTCACAACAACACCATCTATAGATGTACAGGAAGAAGTGCCTAAAAACTTGTGTAATTTGCTAAACATTATCAAATTTCTTTTTTTATAAGTGTGAGTCGTTTAATTTAGAATTATTTGGGCTAATTTCATATGTTTTAGTACTATCCGAAAAAAGTTTATTAAATTTTTAAAAATTAACATTCGTGATTATAATCCCTCCAAAATGAAACAACCTGTTTATCTTCCCACGAAAATAAATAACTTCCTCATATTAGTAACAAAAAAGTAGATATATGTCGAAGATCTAAAAATAAATAAATAATTAGAATGTTCATCACCCCATTCTATTTTTCTCATTAAAGTTATTAAATATACAGAATAAATAAATAAAATTAACTATTATGATTCTATGGAAGCTATTTCAAACATATACGGAACTCTATCACTTGTTATCATTATTTTATTTTTACACATATTAATATAAACGTAAAATACGACTAAAATGAGTAAAATCATCTCCAATTTAAAATTTCTCACTTTATCCCCCTTTTTCTTTATGTGTTAATTTGTGCCGTACATAATCATTTATGATTTAAATTGATCTAATTTAATTATCTATCTAGCCGTGAAAATTCAAAAAGTAAATAAAATTTGATATTTTGGCTACTAGGTAAAACTAACTTTACTCAGAAATTAGAAAATAAGGAACACATATAGACCATAAGTCCAACATGGAATTTACAAAGCAACAATACATAATTACATATATATTACAAAATGCCCAAAAGATCCTTTTTTTTTTCATATATTACAAGACGAAAAAAAAATAGATACATAACACATAAAATCCAACCTAGATGTTTTTTCTTCGTTTCCCGTCTGGTATCCAGTATCGTGTTAAGAAATTCTAAAGCCCCATTTCGAAGCATAGTGAATAAGTTCACTCATTTCATCTTCGTTAATATATCCATCGCCATTTTTATCTGCGTGACGAAGGGCTTTTCCAGCTTTCCATCGACAAAAATGCAACCCCATCTCTTTAAAAGCTAATCTCAATTCATGTTTGCTAAGTTTACCATCACTATTTTTATCATATTTCATTAGTATACCTTTCACTTGCTCTTCACTTAATGGGTAACTTACTCTTCTAGGAATGAACCAAGGCATTTTTTTTTTGTTGCTATAGTTTTTAGGATAAGTAATTAGTGGTTGGATGAATTTTCGAAAAGTTGTGTTTCATATATATATATATAATATTAGGGTCACTATAGTATTCATGTTGATCAGTCATTTTCTATTTGAGAATATTTTTATTTTCGTGGATTTATAGAATAATAAGAATTTATTCCTTCTTCAACTATTATTTACACTTGTTGAGATATGGGGTCATATTGTATTTACTTTGTTTGGCTATTTTTATTCGGTAGATTATGCTTTTCCAGAGTTAATTAAATTAATTTTTAAAATTAAATTAGATTTTATTAATTTGATTTTTTATACAAAAATTTAGATATTTAAAAATTATACGAAAATTATTATAAATTGTAATTTTTTTTGCATAATAATAATAATAATATATATATATAATTTTTTTTAAAGTTTTGATAGTTAGACTCTAAAAAGAAAACTATATCAACTAAAAGTGAATGGAGATAGTATATAAATAGCTAAGAAACGAATTCAAAATTTAAATTTTAAATTTTAGTGGTTCAACTTTTTGAACATTAGTTAAAAAGGAATTAAATATTGTCTTAAAAGGAGTATATCTAATAATTCTCTTTTGCTTTTGTTGTTCTCTATGGATATTTTTCTGTAAAAAAATAAAGATATTTCAGTATCTTTGAACACTTATATATGCTTCAATTCGATTATTATACTACTGTTTTTTACTTTTTGTTAGACCAACAATGACCTATGTGAAAAAGATAAAATAAAATAGTTTAAAAAATGAAACATAATACTCATGTAATAATTTTGGATTGTGCGTATAGGTTAGGTAAAGGTAGGCTTCAATGGTTTCACGTTATGAAATTCTAAATTTTAATAATTCAAATTAGAGATGTTAAGTATATCTATTTTACATATTATTAATTATTGATATCTT